TGGCAACGAGGTGAGGGGGGTGTGCCAAAGCCGGTGAGGTGCAGCGGAAGGTGAAGCAGGCGAGCAGGCTCGAGCGGTCTCGGAGACGCGGGGGTCTGTCGAGAGGAAGAGAGGAGGCGAGGGAGATGGTGTCGAGCGGGAAAGACGAAGCAGGCGACTATTTCGGTGTCGACGGGAGGAGATGAATCAGAAGGATGAGGCAGGCAACGGTTTCGATATAGAGGAAGATGCGAGCGGAAGGAAGCGGGGTCGAGCGAGAAGAAGAGAGCAGTGGGCTTCGGATCGTACGCGGGGAAGAAGACGAGAGCGGGGATTTCTGGGCGAGCGGGGAAGATGCGGGAGTGGGAGGCAAAGCAGGTCGTGGTCTTTGGCCTTCGGTGTAGAGGAGAAGCTGGATCGAGTGAGGCTAGGGCGAGAGAGGAAAGGTGAGGCCGAATGTAGTGCAGGGAGGCGAGCTCGCAAAAGGAGGAGGCGAAGAAGAAGAGGGGCAAATGAGATTGAGCCGAAGGAGGAGCAGCTTTCGGTGACCGCCTGATTCGAATGCCAGGGAGAGGTTGTATAGCCAAAGAGACGTTACGGGAGGCGTTGGCGGGGAATTGAATGAATTCCATCCAGGGACAATTTTATTAGGTAAGTAATAATCCCTAATTAGATTTAATTAAGATGAAATTATGTGGCTGATTTGAAATTTAAAATTTTAAAATTTGAAATGGCCCTAGCTCGTGTTCAGCCTGTTTCGAGGTCAAATTGAACCCGGGTCGAGCCCGAACCCATGCCATGCTAATTTTAAAAAAAAGCATCAATTTTCATGTTGTTTGTGCTCGAGCGTAACCCTAGCAATATGAGTGTCCTTCCTATATAAAGTTGACGTTCCGGACGTGTTGGTGCGGTCTGTTTCGTCATCTGGAGTCGTCCAGGCGAGTTCACCGACGAGCAAGTCTAAGTTGACGTTCCGGACGTGTTGGTGTGGTCTGTTTTGTCATCCGGAGTCGTCCAGGCGAGTTCACCGACGAGCAAGTCGATTCAAGTCAAAGTCGTGTGTGGGGCAGGG